ACTACTACTACTACTTCTACTGATACTGCTACTACTACTACTACTACTACTACTGCTAGTACTACTACGACTACTACTACTACTACGACTACGACTACGACTACTACTACTACTACTACTACTACTACTACTACTACTACTACTACTACTACTACTAGTACTACCACGGCTCGGACGGCTCGGACGGCTCGCGGTGCACATCCGTCGGCCTCACGCGCGCGCTGTTCGCAGGATGGCCCAAGGTGCCCCTCGAGGGTCACGTCAAAGATCTCGGATGGCCAATCAGCAGCATCGCCGACGCGCCGCTGAAACACAACTCGAAACCAAGAGCAAGCCCCCCGGAGATAAAGTAGGCCCCTGCCAAACGTCGAGAATCCCGAGTTCGATCAAGCTGGAGGTCTCTGGAAGGCCCGTATCGATGGCTACGAAATCGTCTCGTCGACATCAATTTCGCGGTAGGTGAGCAGGACTGGTCGCAGGCAACGTTTCAGATAGCGGGGCCACAGGACCCGCCAAAAGAATTCCATGCCACCCACGACCTGAAGGCCAGGTTGCAGACGGTCACCCAGTGGTGCGAATTACTGCTGGCTGACATCAAGGGCACAGCCGACCAGGCCATCAGCCAGTTGCTCCAGGATCTTGACAAAAACCATCGACTCCGAAAGGAAGAAACAATTTTCGGAAGCTTCGAAAGCATGGGCCTCACGGGTCCAAAGTTCGCTCCAAGAAGGCGCCGACTGGGCTCACAGATGGACTGGGTGCTTAGACGCTTGGAAGCCAGCTACCACAGACTTGCGAGGAAGATAGCCTGGACGACCAAGCAGCATTTTCGAAGGCGAAGCGGAGAGGCTTGCGAACATCTGGGACGCGTCCGACACCCCGAAAGAAAGCCCCATACCCAGTGACATAGATGACCGAGTCGCCCTGGGCCCCAAGAAGGGAGAGATCATTCTAGAAGCCGCATAAAGTTTTCCGCCTCGGACCGCTTCGACCTGGGACGGTTTACACCCCAGGCACTTCGCCTTGATCACAGAGCAGCAGGCTGATCTTGTCGCCAGGCTGCTCCTTAGAATCGAAAGACTAGGTTTCATACCCACACAGATACAGGCCATTATTTTCGTTCTGAACACGAAGCACAAACAGCAAGACCCGCAAGCAACCAAGCCAGCACTGAGACCCATTGGGATGATGTCTGGCCTGCATAGAGCGTGGGCTAGAACAAGACAGTCAGCTGCGCGCGAATGGGAACGCCATCATAGACAGCCTTTCCTCGCTCATCAAGCAGGTCACTCCATAGTTGAAATTGCGTTCAAGCAAAGCCTCGATTGCGAGAGCTACAACAATCGTAACGAGCGACTTGTTTCTGGTATGATTCTCTACGATCTCAGCACTTACTGTGAGCACATCAGTAGAGACAAGCTAGGTGCGCGAGCCCTACACAACGGGTGCCCTGCTACCCTACTACGTATCATCCTCAGCATCTACGCTAGCCACCGATATGTCGCCCTCCAGGATCTAGTCGTGTCGGTGGGACATACTGTATACGGTATAGCAGCGGGGTCTGGGCTTGCAACGTATATCATACAGATGTACACGCTAGACCCCCTCGACCCCTGGACCCAGCAGAACCCAAATTTAGACCTGCCCATGTTCATAGATGACCTCCTCATGAAATCGCACGCGCGCCAGGCCAGTGCAGTCATAGCCAGACTAGATCGGGGGACCCGCAGTTTAATCCAGTGCATCCAGCATGACCTCGACAGCTTGGTTGCCCCTGTCAAGACTCAGATGCTCGCCTCCACTCCAGAGCTGCGCAAGGGAATCAAGAAAAAAGCTTCGCGGGAGAGCAGGCACGACGCTGGACATCTCAGGCCCGAACCTCGGCTGCGAGACCGCAGCTGGCGCCCCCCAGTGCAAATGGAGGAAGGACAGGCTCGCCACGGCAAGGATGAACAAGAGCAAGAAACGGGCGAGGAGGCTGGGGGCGATCGGGAGAGCAGGAGGAGGCACCGGGAAGATCTATAACACGGGCATCTTCGCAGTCACATCTTTTGGACTTGAAGTGACAGGCCTCAATAACCCCCAGCTCGCGATTGCACAATAACAGTATCTAAAGCTTGCTGGACCCAAATGCGCCACCAGAAGCAGGGCCCTCAGCTTGCTCCTCGTGGGAGGCCCAACCTGGAAGCTAGCTCTTGCGCCTGCTCTAGTGTGGCATTTAATTGCATGGACAGCTGCCACCAATGCAGTCCAAAGTCTTGCTCCCTTGTCGGCCCTCCGTTCCCGCGGTGAGGCCCTCATGGCCAAGCCCCCACTCGCTGGGGCAGCGTGCGCGGGCCTTTCGGAGCCATGCTGCCACCCTTGCATCGCATCTGCTGGACTCTAGTTTCGCCTTGAGCTTTTCCGACCAAGGAAGGTGCAGAGTACACTTTAACTTGCGTTTCGCCCGCGTTTGTCCAGAAACGCACGCAGAAAGCTTGGATTCGCCAGCTGCGTCAGCAAGCAGCCGGCAAACTAGGCCACCCAGACGCCACCCTAGACTACAGCAGAGCGACCAGCGTTTTAAAGAGCCCAACCCTCAGCAAACAAGAACGAGGGAGCCCTTTTAACAGTTTTTGAACTCAAGGGTGTTGGACCAAGGCCAGAGCCAAAGACGCGGATTAGCCCATAGATTGCACCTGCGAGCGTGGCTCCTCGTCGGATTGCCTCCGCCACCGTTTGTTCGAATGCCAGCTGTCCCAACCCGAGAGGGACCGTGCGTTCTCGACCGATGAGCCCGAGCTCATCTTGCATCATGACAGAGACCCGCGAATTAAGTTCGGATGTCAGCAGGAGCCTGACTTCTGCATCGGAGCCCCTCCAGGAAATGGATTGGACAACTGCCAGTTCTGGTGTCAGGACGCCAATGTTTCTCTGGAAGAGGCCTTTGCGGGGAATGTATGTGTCGACGGCAGTTGCGACCCTTCCCTGTACCCTGCCCATCAGACGGCGGGCTCGCCAGTTGTTTCTATGAAGGAGGAGAACCCTTTCGCGATTTTGTCTGGCCAAGTGGGTTCGGACTTTCCGCAAGGGTCTGGGGTTGCAGAGGTGTTTGCCATTGTTGCTGCTTGCTCCATCTCTCCGCTCATCGAACAAGTCCATACGGACTACGCTGGAGCGTTGCAGTTATACTAGAACCCAGGATATCCTAGAAGGAACCTCCTCGCAGGTTTCAAAGTCCTGATGGGCCGCGCCGTCGCGTCGCCCGAGAGATGTCTCGTCAAAGTCAAAGCCCAGCAGGACCTCTCACAAGACTCTAACGATAATGACGCTTACAACCACGCCAAAGGTAACGACGCTGCGGACAAAGCAGCCAAGCGAGCCGCCACCTCTCATTTCAACAGGCCTTTTGGGGTCGAAAGAGAGCTTGGCAAATCCGATCGGATTTGTTGCGTATTCTGTTTTACGCGGCCCAGGCCCTTCCCAAGTGGCCCCCTTTAGCCCCTCGCCCTGGGAAGACAGGCCTTGCCAAGCCCGTCTCTAGCAACCCACCGATGGGGGCAGCCTCCGCTGCCTACGCCTGGGACCCTGGGGCCGTCCCTCCCCCTCCGCGGCCTCCCCCCTCCTCCGCTTCCCAAGGAAAGTCTGGCGTAACCCATCGGTGGGCGTATTTTTACGGGAAGCACGCGTGCGCCCTCTGCCGCACCAGCGCCAAGCATCTGAATACATTCAACCGTAGGATCAGTGAGCGATGCCCAGGATTGCGTGCTGGCCTGGCCTCGCTGGCGCAGAACCCTCGTGGGCACCGCCTGCTTTTTCTCGAGCACGAGCTCTACGAGAGCACGCTCATCTATTGTGCTTTGCGTGTGGGTCCTGCTCGGAAAAGGGAACCAGGGGCCGTCTTTGCAGCCAATGCACCTGCGTACCAGAGTCCAGAACTGCGTCCTGCCGTCGCTCGGACGTCCATTCCCCGTGCAGTTTTCGGCTTCGTCCGAGAAAAAATGCACACGTCCGAGCGATGCCAAGTGCGCATGGTCAACATTCGAGGGCGAGGGACCCGCCCAACCCTAAGCGCGGCTCCCGCGCGGACAAGGTCTTCAAACCTCCAGAGTGCCCCCTCGAGCTCTTCTGTCGCCAGGCCCTGGCTGAAGCCCAGCAGGCAGTTCCGACTCCAGCGGAGGGAAGTTCCGGGCCCGTCACTGCCATTTGTAGCGTAGCTCAAAAGGCCAGCTAGGCCCACACCAGGGACGTGGCCTGCCACCATCCTGGCGTTGCTTACACCAGGGGTAGGCGGTGCCGCGTCGTCCTGGCGTCGCCTCGTGACATTATTGTGTGCGTGCGTGCGTGCGTGCGTGCGTGCGTGCGTGTGTGTGTGTGTGTGTGTGCGTGTGTGTGTGTGCGTGTGTGTGTCTGTGTATGTGTCTGTGTGTGTCTGTGTGTGTGTCTGTGTGTGTGTCTGTGTGTGTGTGTCTGTGTGTGTGTGTGTCTGTGTGTGTGTGTCTGTGTGTGTGTCTGTGTGTGTGTGTCTGTGTCTGTGTGTCTGTGTCTGTGTGTCTGTGTGTCTGTGTGTGGGTGTCTGTGTGTGGGTGTCTGTGTGTGGGTGTCTGTGTGTGGGTGTCTGTGTGTGGGTGTCTGTGTGTGGGTGTCTGTGTGTGGATGTCTGTGTGTGGGTGTCTGTGTGTGGGTGTCTGTGTGTGGGTGTCTGTGTGTGTGTCTGTGTGTGTTCTGTGTCGGTGTGTCTGTGTATGTGTGTCTGTGTGCTGTGTCTGTGTGTCTGGGTCTGTGTGTCTGTGTCTGTGTGTGTGTCCTGGGTGTGTGTCTGTGTGTGTGTCTGTGTGTGTGTCTGTGTGTGTGTCTGTGTGTGTGTGTCTTGTGTGTGTCTGTGGTGTGTCTTGCTGTGTGTGTCTGTGTGTGTCTGTGTGTGTCTGTTGTGTGTGTCTGTTGTGTGTGTCTGTGGTGTGTGTCTGTGTGTGTCTGTGTGTGTCTGTGTGTGTCTGTGTGTGTCTGTGTGTGTCTGTGTGTGCCTGTGTGTGTGTCTGTGTGTGTGTCTGTTGTGTGTGTCTGTGTGTGTGTCTATGTGTGTGCGCGGCCGCGTGTGTGGGTGTGTGGGTGTGTGGGTGTGTGGGTGTAATTGGTGTGTGGGTGGTGTGGGTGTGGGCTGTGTGGGTGGTGTGGGTGTGTGGGTTGGTGTGGGTGTGTTGGGTGTGTGGGTGTGTGGGTGTGTGGGTGTGTGGGTGTGTGGTGTGTGGGTGTCTGTGTGTGGTGTGTGGGTGTGTGGTGGTGTGGGTGTGTGGGTATGTGGGTGTGTGGGTGTGTGGGTGTGTGTGTGTGCGTGCGTGCGTGCGTGTGTGTGTGTGTGTGTGCGTGCGTGCGTGCGTGCGTGCGTGCGTGCGTGCGTGCGTGTGTGTGTGTGTGTGTGTCTGTGTGCGTGCGTGTGTGCGTGTGAGTGTGTGTGTGTGTGTCTGTGTGTGTCTGTGTGTGTGTCTGTGTGTGTGTGTCTCTGTGTGTGTCTGTGTGTGTTTGTGTGTGTGTCTGTGTGTGTGTCTGTGTGTGTGTCTGTGTGTGTGTGTCTGTGTGTGTGTCTGTGTGTGTGTCTGTGTGTGTGTCTGTGTGTGTCTGTGTGTGTGTCTGTGTGTGTGTCTGTGTGTGTGCGCGCGCGCTTCCGCGCGCGCGTCAGGCACCCCGTCTCAAGGGAAGGCGCGCTGGAGGACCACCCTCTGCGGCACAGCTGCACAGAGGGCCTTCTGAGGTGTGCTGGGCACGGGGGCGAACCTGGCTTAGCCAGTCCGCCCCGACAGTCGCTCGGCCACCCCCCTTTTTCCGCGGTAGCCTAAGCCCGCTGCAGGTTCGATCTGGGGTCGTTGTATTGTCCTGGCTGGCGGTGCTGGTGTCGCGCAGCCAGCCCTGGAACTCGGGCCGTGGGGTTCCGTCAGTCCGGCGATGCTGGCCGTCCTTTTCACTGTGGCGAGCTGTTTGGCGTTTCCCTGTTGCACGGCCGTGGAGCGCTGGCTAGCTGCCCCACGGTGACTGTTGCACAGTGGGCCGCCCTCCGTGGGGTCTGGGCACGGGGGTGGACTAGGTCGGCCAGTCCACCCCGACCGTTGCTCATCCCCACCCCTCCCCCCTTGCCCTGTGCGGGCGGCGGAGGTGAGAGCCGCTGAGGCTAGGTGTGCAAAAGCCACATCTGGGCCCATTGCTTTCGTTCAGCGTCGGCAGCGCCCACCCGTCTCAGCGGCCAGATGGTTCGCCCGCGGCCGTTGTGGAGAACATAGGTGACCCCGTGCCACGAGGCTTTGGGTGAGGGTCGGGTCGGCCAACCCTTCGCCTCCCTCATCAGCCATGTGATGGTCCTCCTCCTCCTCCTCCTCCTCCTCCTCCTCCTCCTCATCATCATCATCAGCAGCATCAGCATCAGCATCAGCATCAGCATCAGCATTATCATCATCATCATCATCACCACCACCACCATCATCATCATCATCATCATCATCATCATCATCATCATCATCATCATCATAATCATCATCATCATCATCATCGTCGTCGTCGTCGTCGTCACCATCATCATCATCATCATCATCAGCAGCAGCATCAGCATCAGCATCAGCATCAGCATCATCATCATGCGCATCATCAGCATCATCATCATCATCATCATCATCATCATCATCATCATCATCATCATCATCATCATCATCATCATCATCATCATCATCATCATCATCCCTCTCCTCCCTCTCCTCCTCCTCCTCCTCCTCCTCCTCCTCCTCCTCCTCCTCCTCCTCCTCCTCCTCCTCCGCCTCCGCCTCCGCCTCTTCAGCCTCCGCCTTCTCCTCCTTCTTCCCTCCCTCCTTCCATCCTTCCCTCCCTTCTCCTGCTCCCTCAAAAAGCGCAGCAGCTCCCTCCTTCCCTCCCTTCTCCTGCTCCCGCTCCCGCTTCTGCCCTCTCGTGCCGTCCCCTCCTCATCTCGATCCTCCTCCTCCTCCTCCTCCTCCTCCTCCTCATCATCATCGTCATCATCATCATCATCATCATCATCATCATCCTCATCCTCATCCTCCTCCTCCTTCCCCTCTGCGTCGCGGAAAGAAGGCAACGTCGGGGATCACGACCAGAGCCCCAGGCCCCCCAACCTCCTGCGGCGTCGCTCGGCCCCGGATCGCTCCGCGAGGACCCCGAGGCTCGAACAAGAACAACGAGGTCGCCCACTGACAAAAAAAGCACGCCCCGATCTCAAGAGGCCCGCTGGTGATGGTCGGGCGGGTGTCACGTGGGGGCGGGCGCCCAAAGGGGGGGGGGAAGCAGGGCTCCCAAGGGAGCCCCCTCGGACCCCTTTTGGGACCCCTGCTGGCCCCCAAGGAGACCCCAAAGGGCCCCTATGCAGGGCCCCCCTCGTCACTAGAAGAAAACAACAAAACAAAAGAACAAAAAAAACAAAAAACAACAAAAAAAAAAAACGCCTTAAGCATACACTGTTGGCGCTCCGCGCGGATTTTCTTGGATCCGCGCTGGGCCCCCCTCCCTGGCGCGAGGAGCGCGCCGGGGGCGGCGCCGGAGGCGCCGCTGTGGGGGCCCAGCGCGGATCCAAGAAGTCCGCGCGGAGCGCCCAAAGTTTCTGCTTGTGGCGTTTTCTCTGTTTCGATTCACCCCCGTTCGAGGCCCCCCCCCCCCTTCACAGGCCCCCTTCACACCCGCCCGATATGGGCAGGGCGGACCTGGCATCGGCTCCTGTCTCGGCTCCTGTCTCGGCCGCCAGAGCTGGGACCTCTGTCACCGCGGCCGAAGTCCGCGCCGTAGCCGACGAAGCCCTTGCCGCTGGAGTCGCCCTTGCCGCCGAAGCCGCCCATGCCCGAAAGCGCCCTGTGGAGGTGCCCAGATCCCCGACGAAATCAAGGACTAGAGTCCGGCGTGTTCTCTGTGAGCGTGGCTCCAAATGGGATCTGAGATGCAAGACTAGATTACCCCCAGGAGAGGGTCGGGACCACTGGGGCCGCGCCATGGAAAGGGAAAACTTCGCCTGGCGAAGAGCCCCTAGCATGTGCAGTTGTGAGCACCGTAGTTGTGGGCATCGTCTTCCGTGGAGCTACCCTGGGGCTACGAAGCGCTGTACGGGGTGGCGGAGACGCATGCGAACTGCGCCACTGGGACCTTCGGTGGAGCTCCTGATGGGGCCACGAAGCGCTGTACTCGGCGGGGGGGACGCATGCGAAATGCGCCACTGAGACCCTCGGGGGAGTTCCCTGTGGGCCCACGAAACGCTGTACTGGGTGGGGGGGGGGCCGCATGCGAACTGCGCCACTGGGACCTTCGGTGGAGCTCCTTATGGGGCCACGAAACGCTGTACTCGGTGGGGGAGACACTTGCGAACTGCGCCACTGAGACCTTAGGTGGAATCTCCTTATGGGGCCACGAAACGCTTTACAGGGTGCGCCACTGGGACATTCGGTGGAGACCCCTCTGGGGCCACGAAGCGCCGTGCTGGGTTGAGGAAACGTGCGCGAACTGCGCCACTGGGACCTTCGGTGGGGATCCCCCTGGGGCCACGAAGCGCTGTACCGGGTGGGGGAAACGCACGCGAACTGCGCCACTGGGACCTTCGGTGGAACTCCCTCTGGGGCCACAAAACGCTATACTGGGTGGGGAAGACGCATAGAAACTGCGCCACTGGGACCTTCGGTGGAGTTCCCTGTGGGCCCACGAAACGCTATACCGGGTGGGGGGGGCCGCATGCGAACTGCGCCACTGGGACCTTCGGTGGAGCTCCTTATGGGGCCACGAAACGCTGTACTGGGCGGGGGAGACACATGCGAACTGCGCCACTGGGACCTTACGTGGAGCTCCCTATGGGGCCAGGAATTATTGTACTGAGAGGGGGGAGTCGCATGCGAACTGCGCCAATGGGACCGTCGGTGGAGTTCCCTCATGGGGCCACGAAACGCTGGGTGGGGTGAGGGGAGACACATGCGAACTGCGCCACTGGCACCTTCGGTGGAGCTCCCTATGTGGCCACGAAACGCTATACCCGGTGGGGGAGACGCACGCGAACTGCGCCACTGGGACCTTACGTGGAGCTCCCTGCGGGGCCACGAACACATTGTACTGGGTTGGGGAGACGCATGCGGAGTGCGCCACTGGGACCCTCGGTGGAGCTCCCTGTGTGGGGCTACGAAACGCTGTACTGGGCTGGGCAGACACATTCGATCTGCGCCGCTGGGACCTTCGGTGGAGATTCATTTGGGGCGACAAGACGCTGTACTGGGTGGGGGAGACGCATGCGAACTGCGCCACTGGGACCTTCGGTGGAGTTCCTTCTGGGGCCACGGAACGCTACGCGGGGTGGGGGAGATGCATGCGAACTGCGCCACTGGGACCTTCGGTGGATCTCCCGTTGGGGCCACGAAGCGCTGTACTGGGTGGGGGAGATGCGCACGAACTGCGCCACTGGGACCTTCGGTGGAGATCCCTCTGGGAACACGAAACGCTGTACTGGGTAGGGGAGACGCATGCGAACTGCGCCACTGGAACCTTCGGTGAAATTCCCTCTGGGGCCACGAAATGCTGCAATGGGCGGGGGGGACGCATACGAACTGCGCCACTGGGACCTTAGGTGGAGCCCCCTACGAGGCCACGAAACGCAGTGCTGGGTCATCATGATGATGACGACAACGACGAGGACATTCGGAGGGCAGAGGCAGGGACGGGAGGAGGGAGGAGTGGTAGGAGGAGGAGGAGGAGGAGGAGGAGGAGGAGGAGGAGGAGGAGAAGGAGGAGAAGGAGGAGGAAGAGAGGAGGAGAAGAGAGGAGAGGAGAGGAACGCGGGGACTGTCTCTTCAAGACGAGGACCCAACAACAGCTTGGTTGGAGGAAAAAAAACATCATCGCAGGAGCCTTGAGGGAGTGCATGGGGAGGCCCAGAACGGAGGAAGTAGCAGGAAGAGGTGAAAGGAGGAGGGTAAGTATCCACAACGAGACGTTTCGTATTCTGGGGCTGCCTGGCACTTGCCGAAGTCGGAGCCCTTCCCGCAGCCAGGATAATCCCAGCAGCCCTTCCCGAAGTCGCAGCCACCCTTCCCGAAGTCGCCCTTGCCGTCCATGCAGCCCATGTCCCCTTTGCCGTAATCTCCTTTGCAGCCGCCACACATACCCATGCCGGGATCGCCTTTGCAGCCGAAGTCCCCCTTGCCTTTACCGAAGTCGCCCTTTCCGAAGTCACCCTTGCCAAAGTCGCCCTGACCAAAGTCGCCCTTGCCCTGGCCGAAGTCGCCCTTTCCAAAGTCGCCCTTGCCAAAGTCGCCCCTGCCAAAGTCGCCCTTGCCGAAGCCACCTTTCCCGAAGCCGCCAGGGTCGTTCGGGGGCGGTGGTACGCCGCCGCCCCAGGGGTCGCCGCCACCCTTGCCCTGGTCGCCTTTCCCGAACCCGCCAGGGTCGCTCGGCGGCGGTGGTACTCCGCCGCACCAGGGGTCCCCGAAGCCGCCCTTGCCCTGGTCGCCCTTCCCGAAGCCGCCAGGGTCGCTCGGCGGCGGTGGTACGCCGCCGCCCCAGGGGTCGCCGCCGCCCTTGCCCTGGTCGCCCTTCCCGAACCCGCCAGGGTCGTTCGGGGGCGGTGGTACGCCGCCGCCCCAGGGGTCCCCGAAGCCGCCCTTGCCCTGCTCGCCCTTCCCGAAGCCGCCAGGGTCGTTCGGGGGCGGTGGTACGCCGCCGCCCCAGGGGTCGCCGCCGCCCTTGCCCTGGTCGCCCTTCCCGCAGCCGCCAGGGTCGTTCGGGGGCGGCGGCATGCCGCCGCCGAAGCCGCCCTTGCCCTGGTCGCCCTTCCCGAAGCTGCCGGAGTCCTGCGGGGGCGGCGGCTGGAACGGGGGCGGCCCGCAGCCGGCCTGCGGCGGCGGCTGGAACGGCGGCGGCCCGCAGCCGCCCTGCGGCGGCGGCGCCGAAGCCTCTGGCGGCGGCGGCTGCGCGTCGGCCTGCTGCTGCATGTGCTGCTGCTGCTGCTGCTGCTGCTGTTGCTGCCTGCGCTCCTCCTGGAGCCTCAGCTGCTCGTAGAAGTCGTCTGAGCCCTGCGGCGGCGGCGGCTGCATGGCGGGCGGCCCTGGCACCGGCTCTGGGCCGCCGGCCGGCTGCGCCTGCTGCTGCATGTGCTGCTGCTGCTGCTGCTGCTGCTGCTGCTGCTGCTGCTGCTGCTGCTGCTGCTGCTGCTGCTGCTGCTGCTGCCTGCGCTCCTCCTGGAGCCTCAGCTGCTCGTAAAAGTCGTCTGAGCCCTGCGTCTGCGTCTGCTGCTGCATGTGCTGCTGCTGTTGCTGCTGCCTGCGCTCCTCCTGGAGCCTCAGCTGCTCGTAGAAGTCGTCTGAGCCCTGCGGCGGCGGCGGCTGCATGGCGGGCGGTCCTGACGCCGGCTCTGGGCCGCCTGGCAGCTGGGTCTGCTGCTGCTGCTGCTGCTGCTGCTGCAGCTGCTCCTGCTGCTGCTGCTGCTGCCTGCGCTCCTCCTGGAGCCTCAGCTGCTCGTAGAAGTCGTCTGAGCCCTGCGGCGGCGGCGGCTGCATGGCGGGCGGTCCTGACGCCGGCTCTGGGCCGCCTGGCAGCTGGGTCTGCTGCTGCTGCTGCTGCTGCTGCTGCAGCTGCTCCTGCTGCTGCTGCTGCTGCCTGCGCTCCTCCTGGAGCCTCAGCTGCTCGTAGAAGTCGTCTGAGCCCTGCGGCGGCGGCGGCTGCATGGCGGGCGGTCCTGACGCCGGCTCTGGGCCGCCTGGCAGCTGGGTCTGCTGCTGCTGCTGCTGCTGCTGCTGCAGCTGCTCCTGCTGCTGCTGCTGCTGCCTGCGCTCCTCCTGGAGCCTCAGCTGCTCGTAGAAGTCGTCTGAGCCCTGCGGCGGCGGCGGCTGCATGGCGGGCGGTCCTGACGCCGGCTCTGGGCCGCCGGGCGGCTGCGTCTGCTGCTGCATATGCTGCTGCTGCTGCTGTTGCTGCTGCCTGCGCTCCTCCTGGAGCCTCAGCTGCTCGTAAAAGTCCTCCTGCTGCTGCGTTTCTTGCTGCTTCTGGTTCATGAACACGTCCGGAGGCAGGAGTGTCTGCGGAGGATGCCCAGGCTGTGGCTGCCCCTGCGGCTGCTGCTGGTCCTGAGCTTGCCCCTGTTGCACTGGCCCCGGTTGCACTGGCCCCGGCTGCAGTGGCCCGGGCTGCAGAGGCTGCGTCTGCTGCGGATGCTGCTCCTGCACCGCCCCGTGCACCACAGGCCCTGGTGCAACAGGCCCCGGTGCGAGCGGCTGTTGCTGTTGCTGCTGCTGCAGCTGCTGTTGCAGCATCTGCTGCTGCATCTGCTCCTGCTGCTGTTGCTGCTGCGCGGCTTGCTGCTGCGCGGCCTGCTGCTGCTGCTGCAGCTGCTGCTGCATGAGCTGCTGCTGCAGCAGCTGCTGCTGGGCCGCCTGCTGCCCCTGCATGGCCGCGGCGGCGGCCTGCTGCTGCGCCATCTGCAGCTGCTGCAGCTGGTACATCTGCAGATACTGCGCCTGGAGCACCACGGGGCCGCGCAATGGGAGGGGGCACCGGGGAAGGGCGGGAACGGGCGGGAGGGAGCAGCGACGAGCAGCGGGAGGGGCGGGGTCTGACGCCCCGCGCCTGCCGCGGTCTGCCTGAGGACCCAGGCGCGAGGGGGGGAAGCGGGAGCGGGGGCAGGAGGAGGGACAGGAGCAGCAGAGGAGGAGCAGCAGGGGCGGGAACAAGACGGAGGAGGAGGAGGAGGAGAAGGAGGGGGGGAGAAGGAGGAGGAGGAGGAGGAGGTGGAGGAGGAGGAGGAGGAGAAGGAGGAGGAGGAGGAGGAGGAGGAGGGGACGGCACGAGGGGGCAGAAGCGGGGGCGGGAGCAGGAGAAGGGAAGGAGGGAGCTGCTGCGCTCTTTGAGGGGGCGCCTGGAATGAGAAAGAGGGGGGCGAAGGACGAGACGGAAAGGCAGCAGCAGGACCGCAGCAGTAGGAGCGCAGGAGCAGAAGCGCTGCTGGAGTAGGAACGCTGCTGGAGCAGTAGCATCAGCTACGCGATGGGGGAACGGCAGCAGGAGCAGGGGCAGGAGGATGTAGAGGACCAAGATCGGTCCTATGAAGCATGATATGGCACGCATTGCAAAGGCCTCCGAGGGTATGCTGTGTTCGTGTGTGTGCTGTGTGTTGCGTGTGGTGTGTGTGGTGTGGATTGTGCGTTGTGCGGTGTGCGTTGTGCGTTGTGCGGTGTGTCTGTGCTGTGTGTTGTGTGATGAGTGGTGTGTGTGTGTTGTGTGTTGTGTGGTGTGTGTGTGTTTTATGTGGTGTGACCTGTGTGTTGTGTGTGTTGTGTGTTGTGTGTTGTGTGCTGTGTGTTGTGTGCTGTGCGTTGTGTGGTGTGTGTAGTGTGTTGTGTGCTGTGTGTTGTGTGTTATGTCTTGCGTGTAATGTGTTGCGTGTTGTGTGTTGTGTGTTGTGTGGTGTGTCTTGTGTGTCGTGTGGGCTGTGTGGGTTGTGTGGGTTGTGTGGGTTGTGTGGGTTGTGGGTTGTGTGTTGTGTGTTGTGTACTATGCTTTGTGTGTTGTGTGTTGTGTGCTGTGTGCTGTGTGTTGTGTGTTGTGTGTTGTGTGTTGTGTGTTGTATGCTGTGCGTTGTGTGTTATGTGTGCTGTGCGTTGCGTGTTGCGTATTATATGTGTTGTACATGTGTGTTGCGTGTTGTGTGTTGGGTGTCGTGTGCTATGTGTTGTGTTGTGTGACTTGTGTGTTGTGCGTTGTGCGTTGTGCGGTGTGCGTTGTGCGGTGTGTATTGCGTGGGTTGTGTGGTTTGTGTTGTGCGTTGTGGGTTGTATGTTGGGTGTTGTGTTGTGTGTAATGTGATGTGTGTTGTGGTGTGTGTGTGTGTGTCGTGCGTTGTGTGCTGTGTGCTGTGTATTGTGTGGTGTGTGTTGTCTGTTGTGTGCTGTGCACTGTGGGTTGTGTTGTGTGTTGTGCTGTGTGTGTGTTATGTAATATGTGTTTTGTTGTGCGGTGTATGTCGTGTGTTGTGTGTTTTGTGTTGCGAGTTGTGTGTTGTGTGTTGGTTGTGGTGTGTGTGGCGTGTGTGGTGTGAGCGTGATGGATGTGTGTGGTGTTTCTGTGTGTGGTGTGGTGTGGCGTGGTGGTGTGGTGTGGTGTGGTGTGGTGTGGTGTGGTGCGGTGTGTGTGTGTGTGTGCGTGTGTGCATCTGTCCATGTGTGCGTGTGTGCATATGTCCATGTGTGCGTGTGTGCGTGCGGAGCACGGGCGTGCGTGTGTGCGTGTGTGCGTGTGTGCGTGTGTGCGTGTGTGCGTGTGTGCGTGTGTGTGTGTGCGTGTGTGCATGTGTGCGTGTGTGCGTGTGTGTGCGTATGTGCGTGTGTGCCTGTGTGCGTGTATGCGTGTGTACATGTGTGCGTGTGTGCGCGTGTGCGTGTGTGCGTGTGTGCGTGTGAGCGTGTGTGCGTGTGTGCGTGGGTGCGTGTGTGCGTGTGTGTGTGTGCGTGTGTGCGTGTCTGTGCGGGTGCGCGGGTGTGCGTGTGTGCGTGTGTGCGAGTGTGCGTGTGTGCGTGTGCGTGTGCGTGCGTGTGCGTGCGTGTATCGGAGGTTGGGGGGTGAGATCGAAGTGGAACGGAGAGCCCCCCTATCGGGAAATCGATTTCGGTTTCGTGTTCGTGCGTGCCGTGCGGGCGAGGCGAAAACAAAAATGAAATGAAAAAAATACAAAACAAATAATTAAAAAAAGAAAAAAGACAATAAGAAAAAAAAAAAAAACAACAAAAAAAAAGTAAGCTGCGATGGCGGGCGAGCAGAAAGTCTCCTGTGGCTGAAGCGGGGCCGGACCAAAGCTCCCTTCTGGGCGCCGGGGGCCCGCGGTGTCCGCCGGTGTCCCCGCTGGTGGCCCGTGTGGCTGAGGCGCGGCCGACCAAATGTCTCCCTTCCGGCGGCCGGGGGCCCGCGGTGTCCCGCCGGTGTCCCTCAGGGGGGGGCCCGTGTGGCTGAGTCGCGGCCGGACCAAATGATTCCCTTCCGTGCGGCGGGCCCCGCGGGTGTCCGCGGTGTCCCTGCGGTTGTCCCGCCGTCGGCGTTTCCCGCGTTGTTCCCCCGCGGTGTCCCGCCGGTGTCCCGCGGTGTCCCGCGATGATGATGATGATGATGATGATGATGATGATGATGATGATGATGATGATGATGATGATGATGATGATGATGATGATGATGATGATCATGATGATGATGATGATCATGATGATGATATGATGATGATAGTGTCCCTGAAGATGATGATGATGTTGATGATGGTGTCGCTGATGATGATAGTGTCCCGATGATGAGGATGATGATGCTCATGATGATTATGTTGATGATGATGACGATGATGGTGTCCCGATGATGATGATGATGATGATGATGATGATGATGATGATGATGATGATGATGATGATTCCGATGATGTTGGTGATGATGATGTTGATGGAAATGGTGTCCCGGCGATAATGATGTTGATGATGATGATGTTGATGATGATTATGGTGTCCCGATGACGATGCTGATGATGATGATGATGATGATGATGATGGTGATGCTGATGGTGTCTCGATGATGATAACAATGATAATGACGATGTTGATGATGATGTTGCTCATGATGATGGTGCCCCAATGATGATGATGTTGTTGATGATGATGCGATGATCATGATGATGATGGTGTCCCGAGGATGATGACGATGTTGATGATAATGTTGATGATGAGAACGATGGTGATCATGATGGTGTCCCGATTATGATGATGATTATGATGATGCTGCTGATGATGACAATAACTGTGTCCCGATGATGATGATGTTGATGATGAGATGATGATGGTGATGATGATGGTGTTGTCCCGATGATGATGCTGACGTTGGTGATGATGTTTATGATGATGATGATGATGATGATGATGATGACGGTGCCCTTATGATGATGACGATGTTGGTGATGCTGTTGATGTTGATGATGTCGATGATGATGATGATGACGTTGATTGTGAGAGCGATTGTGATATCAATAGTGAGATCGATATTGAGACCGAATGTGGGATCGATTGTGTGATCGATCGAATGAGATAGATCGAGTGAGATCGATTGTGAGATTGATCGAGTGAGATCGATCGAGCGAGACCGATAGTGAGATCGATACTGAGATCGATAGTGAGACCGATCGAGTGAGACGTTGGTTCCCCCCCCCGAACCTCCTTATCACCCGAAGGGTGGTCGTATAGGTACTTGTGTCGTGTGTGCGTGTGTGCGTGTGTGCGTGCGTGCGTGCGTGCATGTGTGCGTGGGTGCGTTGTGTGCGCGTGTGGATATGCACGTGTGTGCGTTTGTGCGTGTGCGTGTGTGCGTGTGTGTGTGTGTGTGCGTGCGTGCGTGTGTGCGTGTGAGCGTGTGCGTGTGCGCGTGCGTGCGTGTGTGCGAGAGTGTGCGTGTGTGCGTGTGTGCGTGAGTGCGTGTGCGTGTGTGCGTGTGTGCGTGTGTGCGTGTGTGCGGGCGCGTCTGTGTGCGTGTTTGCATGTGTGCCTGTGTGCGTGTGTGCGTGTGTGCGTGTGTGCGTGTGTGCGTGTGTGCGTGCGCGTGTGCGTGGGTGTGTGCGTATGTGCGTGTGCGCGTGTGTGCGTGTGTGCGTGTGTGCGTGCGTGCGTGTGTGCGTGTGTGCGTGCGCGTGTATGTGCGCGTGTGCGTGTGTGCATGTGTTCGTGTGCTCGTGTGTGCGTGTGTGCGTGTGTGCGTGTGTGCGCGTATGCTTGTGTGCGCGTGTACGTGTGTGCGCGTGTGCGTGCGTGCGCGTGTGCGTGTGTGCGCGTGTGCCTGTGCGCGTGTGTGCGTGTGTGCGTGTTTGCGCGTGTGCGTGTGTGCGTGCGTGCGTGCGTGTGCGTGTTTGCGGGTGTGAGGGTGTGCGGGTGTGCGGGCGGGCGGGTCCGCGGGTGCGTGTGCGTTTGTGCGTGCGCGTGTGGGTGTGTGTTTATGTTTGTGTGTGCGTGTGTGGGTGTGGGTGTATGTGTGCGTGTGGTGTGTGTGTGCGTCTGAGTGTGCGTGTGTGGGTGCGTGTGCGTGTGTCTGTGTGTGTGCGGGGGGGGCATGTGCGTTTGTGCGTGTGCGTGTGCTTGTGCGTGTGCGTGTGTGCGTGTGCGTGTGCGTGTGCGTGTGCGTGTGCGTGGTGCGTGTGTGCGTGTGTGTGCGGGTGCGGATGCGTGTGAGTGTGCGTGCGCGTGTGCGAGTGCGTGTGCGTGTGCGTGTGCGTTGGCGTGTGCGGGTGTGCGTGTGCGTGTGCGTGTGCGGGTGCGCGCGTGCGTGTGCGTGTGCGTGTGCGTGTGCGTGTGCGTGTGCGTGTGCGTGTGCGTGTGCGTGTGCGTGTGCGTGTGCGTGTGCGTGTGCGGGTGCGTGTGCGTGTGCGTGTGCGTGTGCGTGTGCGTGTGCGTGTGCGTGTGCGTGTGCGTGTGCGCGTGCGTGTGCGTGTGCGTGTGCGTGTGCGTGTTCGTGTGTGAGTGTGCGTGTGCGTGTGCGTGTGCGTGTGCGTGTGCGTGTACGCGTGCATGTGCGTGTGCGTGCGTGTGTGTGTGTGTGTTTGTGAGCGCGTGTGTGTGTGTGCGTGGGTGTGTGTGTGTGTGGGTGTGGGTGTGGGTGTGGGTGGATGGGTGGGTGTGTGTGTGTCTGTGTCTGTGTCTGTGTCTGTGTCTGTGTCTGTGTCTGTGTCTCTGTGCCTGAGTGTTTCCGTGTCTATGTGTCTGCTGTGTGTGTTGTGTGTGTTGCGTGTGTGGTGTGCATGTGCGTGTGCGTATGTGTTTGTGTGTGGTGTGTTGCGTGTGCGCGCGTGCGTGCGTGGGTGGGTGAGTGTGTGTGTGCGTGTGTGTACACCTTCTGGTAAACCCCACTCCAATGGTGCTGAATTACTCCCTCGGAGGGGCGCTGGTGGAAGAGCAGGATGAGGACGAGGGGAGCTGGTGTATCCCTCTCAAACTCATTGTGCCTTTCAAAACCATGCGTCTAATATCACCATGCTCCTTCATCCCCCCGCCCTCTCCCCTCCACCCTCCCCCCCTCCTCCACCCACCTCCTCCGCCCCACATGGACGACGACGAGGACGATGAGGCCGACGGATGACGACGACGACGACGACGACGACGACGACGACGACGACGACCGACCGACAACGACTGACGAAGACAACGACGGACGACGACAGACGACTACGAACGACGACGACGACGACGACGACGACAGACGACGACGACGACGACGACGACGACGACGACGACGACGACAACGGCGACGACGACGAAGGGCCTGCCGCGGGCCGCGCCCGAGGCCTCCCGAAGGCCTCCCGAGAAAGGCCGCCCGAGCGAGGCCGGCCGAGGGGCCGCCTGCATCGCAGGGTCCATCGCCGCGCCGCCGCGCCCGCCGCCGGGGCCGCCGCCTCAGTGGAGGCCGGAGAGTGGGCACCAACTGCACGGTTTCCCCCGGGGCCGTAGGCGACCCGAGGAGCAGGAGGAGGAGGAGGAGGAGGAGGAGGGGGAGGAGGGGGAGGAGGAGGAGGAGGAGGAGGAGAAGAAGGAGGAAGAGGGGAAGAAGGAGGACGAGGAGAAGAAGGAGGAGGAGGACGGGTCGCCTAAGCCCTTCGGAGAAACCCTCCAGCTTGGGAATGGGCACCAACATCAGCACAGGGGGGTTGCCTGCACAGGGGGGAAGATGATCCTCGATTTCGGTGCTGGTGGCAATCTTTCGACCACCTGGAGAGCCCGAATATTACCACAATCGCCGAGATCGGGATTATTGTCCCTCGGTGGAGGCACGACGCCGATATTGGTGTTGGTGTCAACCTCTAGGCCTCCGACCTCAGCGTGCCCTGGGCCGCTGCCTCGGCGCGGCCATTCCTCCGCGCAGGCCCCCTCGAGGCCGCACAAAAAAGGCTCAGAGCGGGCGCGCCAGTCGCTGCCGTCGCTGCCGCCACCGCCGTCTCCGCGGTGGTGGTGGTAGGCGGTGGTCTGGGTGGTGGTCGTCGCCGTCGTTGCCGCCGCCGCCCTCCTCCTCCTCCCTCCTCCTCCTCCTCCTCCTCCTCCTCCTCCTCCTCCTCCTCCTCCTCCTCCTCCTCCCCCTCCTCCTCCTACTCGTCCTCCCCCTCCCCTCCCTCCTCCTCCTCCTCCTCCTCCGAGCCCCTGAAAGCGGCGCCGCGCTCACGCTCCCGAGAGGCCACGATCCTGGGCAAGGTGTACGCCGCGCTCGCGTCCCCGAGGCTATATTTCCCTTCGCCAGTCACGCAGGATCCCTCGCAAATCGCGCAAGATTCGCGCCCCCGGGGCCACTCTCCCTTACGTACACATGGCACAATATTCGCAACCCCGAGGCCACGACCCTTCGGAAATTATACGACGCTCACGCTCCTGAGGCCACGACCCCATGTAAATCAAACCATATTCGCGCCCCCGGGGCCACGACCCCTCGCAAATGGAACGACATTCGCGTCTCCGAGTCCACGATCCTTCGTAAACTACGCAAGGTTCGCGCCCCCACGACAACCCTTCGCAAATTATCCCAGATGTGCGTCCCCGAGGCCACGATCCCTTGTAAGTTACGCAATGGCCTCGCCGAGACCACGATATCTAATGAATTGCGCCGTGCTCGGGCCCCCGAGGCAACGATTCCTGGTACATTGCGCCATAATCGCGTCACCGAAGCCACACGGCTCCTCGCAAAATACGCCGAGGAACCCAACCCGAAGACCGTCCAAGCCGCGCGATCCTGCCCAACGTAGCCTCAAGCAGCCCACAGTCGATCCAAGAGGGCCTCCGATACACAGCACGAGGGGGAGTTCGAAAAAGGCAACACAAATATCAACAATATCATCCGAATCTCAAATTGTCTTGAAGACTACCAGTCGTGCTTTACGAAGAGGCCCATGCATCACAACACAAAGCTCCTGCAGATCTCATCATGATAGAGAGGGGGCCAGTGGTAGAGGGCGAAGCCTTTACGGATAATTCGTGGTAAAACCCGTTACCAGCCCAGCCATTCACCCCCTCCCCACCCCTGGCGGCGTCACGATTCGCGCCGGCACTGCCTGGGAATTGACCAGTCCTGAGCATTTCCAGGCGGCGCCGCCGCGAACCGTGACGCTACCAGCCCGTTCCCCCTCCCCCCCCAGGTCACGCCCGGTATCGCCAGGGGAGAGAACCAAAACATTTGAACGAATTGATATGTATATATATATAGATGGATACCATAGATAATTATATATCACAATATTAATATATATCGTGTTCTTATCTTAGTTAAACAAATATATGTATATGTGTGTGTACATCTATATGTATGCTTTAGATGACATGAGTAGAGAAATGCAGCCATAATAGATAACTTAAAGCTATATGAATGAATACATAAATATGAACAAAACCAAAAAAAGTGAAGCAAACAGATTCACAATAACAATAACACTGCTACATCCTGACGCTGCCCCTGAGGAGACGGGCCGGGGCGGCGGGCCTCGGTCAAGGGCACGGATTTGTCGCCGAGCTTGCTGCTCTCGTGCCAGAAGGCGGGCACCTGCGCAGGGCGCCACCGGCGCGCCAGGGCCCTCCGAGGCTCCAGGCTCGCGGCTGCTCCTCCTCCTCCTCCTTGTCCTCCTCCTCCTCCTCCTCCTTCCTCTCCTCCTCCTCCTCCTCCCCTCCTCCTCCTCCACCTCCTCCCCCTCCCGCCTTCCTCCACCTCCCCCCTCACCCCCTCCCTCCCTCCCTCCTCCCTCCTCTCCTCCTCCCTCTCACAATCCGTCCCTCCCTCCTCCCTCCCCTCCCTCCCTCCCTCCTCCCTCCCTCCCTCCCTCCCTCCCTCCTTCCCTCCCCCCTCCTCCCCTCCTCCTCCTCCGCCTCCTCCTCCTCCTCCTCCTCCTCCTCCTCCTCCTCCTCCTCCTCCTCCTCCTCCTCCTCCTCCTCCTCCTCCTCCTCCTCCTCCATCCTCTCCTCCTCCTCCTCCTCCTCCTCCTCCTCCTCCTCCTCCTCCTCCTCCTCCTCCTCTCCTCCTCCTCCTCCTCCTGTCCTCCTCCTGGTCCTCCTCCCTCCTCCTCCTCCTCCTCCTCCTCCTCCTCCTCCCTCCTCCTCCTCCTCCTCCTCCTCCTCCTCCTCTTCCTCCTCCTCCTCCTCCTCCTCCTCCTCCTCCTCCTCCTCCTAGCGCCAGCTCGGCACAAGCAGGGCCTGGTTGCCAGCCCGCGCCATTGGCGCCTCCCGCGCCGCCCTCCCCGCCCCTGCCTCCCCGCCCTCCCCGGCCGTGCCATGGAGGTGCATCCTATTGCCGCTGCGCCAAAGCGCCGCCGCCCCAACCGGTCGGCGGCGGCCAGGCGGGCTCAGTACGTGCGCGCTGAGGCCCGAGTCACGGCGCACTTGCTGCGTGCCTTGGACGCCCTGTCCAAGCACCGCGGCGTGCAGCCTTCGCGCCTCGCGGGCGCTCTGGCTGCCGCATGCTGCTCCGCCAGCACACGAGGATGACGGCGGAGGAGATGATCAGGATGATGGAGGCGGGCCCCCTGCTGGTCGTGCGGTCGATGCTGATCGTCGGATGCTTCGGGTTTCCGGCAAGGCCAGGGCGGACGACAAGGGCTCGGGCAAAGCTCAGGGCTCCGACCCATGGCACCAGGGTCGTGATCCTTGGAGCGCTTCCGCCACCGCCGCGGGAGATGTGCAGCCGCATGAGCGCGGTGCTCCTGGTGATGAGGTGCGTCCTGTGGGTACAGGGCGTCCGGCTCATCGTACTGCTCTCGCCGATCTCCGTGCTGCACATTTCGGTGTGCCAGACATTGTCAGCAAGAGCATCAAGGCTATAAACAGGACGTCCAGCAGTGGCGCAGGAGTTCTTGTGCCTGGCGTTCCTGAATGCATCGCCTGTGTGAGGGCGCGCCGGTTCGGCGCGATGGCCTGCCGAGCGTGCGCGGCCCGCTAGTTGTAGCCTGCGCGGGACCATGTTGCAGACGGCGGTGTTCTCTGTAGGTTGGTCCTTCTGGCATGTTGGTTGGAAGGCGTGCCCGGTGCCGCTGAGCGGTGCCGGATCTGCTCTCCAACCTTCGTTGCTGAAAGGCCCAGCCTTGTCCCTCGAAGTGTCCAATCCAATCCAATCCAATCCAATCCTCCTCCTCCTCCTCCTCCTCCGCTCCTCCTCCTCCTCCTCCTCCTCCTCCTCCTCCTCCTCCTCCTCCTACCCTCCCCCGCCTCCCCCATCTCCTCCCTCGAAAAAAAAAAAAACTCCCTCCTCCCTCCTCCCTCCTCCCTCCCTCCTCCTCCTCCTCTCCTCCTCCTCCTCCTCCTCCTCCTCCTCCTCCTCCACCTCCCCCTCCTCCTCCTCTCCTCCTCCTCCTCCTCCTCCTTCTCCTCCTCCTCTCCTCCTCTCCTCCTGCCCTCCTCCTGCCTCCTCCTCGTCATCATCCATCATCATCATCATCATCATCATCATCATCATCATCATCATCATCAATCATCATCGATCATCATCATCATCATCAGCCTCATCATCATCCCCCGCATCATCTCATCTCAATCATCACCAGGCAGCAGCATCATCATCATCATCATCATATCATCATCCTCAATCATCATCATCCATCATCAGAATCATCATCATCATCATCATCATCTCATCATCATCATCATCATCACATGATCATCATCATCATCATCATCATCAATCATCATCATCATCATCATCATCATCATCGCATCATCATCATCATCAGCATCAAGCATCATCATATCATCATCATCATCACCCCACCCTCCACCACCACCACCACCACCACCACCACCACCACCATCATCATCATCATCATCATCAGCATCAGCATCAGCATCATCATCACCATCATCATCATCAGCATCAGCATTAGCAGCAGCAGCATCATCATCGTCATCATCATCATCACCATCATCATCAGCATCATCATCAGCATCATGAGCATCATCAACAGCATCATCATCAGCAGCAGCACAATCAACATCAGCATCAGCATCAGCATCGTCATCAGCATCATCAGAATCATGATCAGAATCAGCAGCATCATCAGCCGCATCATCATAATCGGCATCAGCAGCATCCGCATCATCATCAGCATCAGCATCAGCATCAGCATCAGCATCATCATCATCATCATCAGCAGCATCATCATCATCGTCAACATCAGCATCAGCATCAGCATCATCATCAGCATCATCAGCAGCATCAGCATCAGCATCATCATCACCAGTATCATCATCATCACCATCAGCAGCATCATCATCAGCATCATCAGCAGCAGCATCATCAGCAGCATCATCATCATCAGCATCATCATCATCATCAATCATCATCAGCAGCAGCATCAGTATCAGCATCAGCATCAGCATCAGCATCAGCAGCATCAGCAGCATCATCATCATAATCATCAGTAGCATCGTCAGCAGCATCATCATCAGCAGAAGCATCATCCACCTCCTCCCCCATCCTCCTCTCTCTCCTCCTCATCCTCCTCCTCGTCCTCCTCCTCCTTCTCCGACGCCCCCGCCTCCTCTTCTTCATCCTCCTCCTCCTCCTCATCCCCCTCCTCCTCTTCCTCCTCCTCGTCCTCTTCCTCCTCCTCCTATTCCTCCTCCCCCTCATCCCCCTCCTCATCATTCGCCTCCTCCTCCTCATCTTCCTCCGCCTCCGCCTCCGCCTCCGCATCCACCTCCACCTCTCCTCCTCCTCCTCCTCATACCTATTCCTCCTCCTCCATCCTGGTCCTCGTCCTCCCTCCTCCTATCCTCCTTCCTCCTCTCATTCCTCCCATGTCCTTCTCTCCTCTCCCTCATCACTCCTCCTCCTCCTCCTCCTCCTCCTCCTGCTCCTCCTCCTGCTCCTCCTCCTCCTCCGCCGCATCCCCCTCCTCCTCTTCCACGTCCTCCTCCTCTTCCTC